ATAATTTTTTTAGGGAATCCTATAAACAGTGGGATGTAATTCCAACATTTTTCACCCAGATGCCTCTCTTCTATACATGAAAGCCCTTATCCCCCTCTCCTGAGTAATGTAATCCTTATTTAGTAATAACATTTCTGAAAGGTAGATAACAGCATTTTAGTTCAGCTCTAATAATTCTGTTGTCCCAGAGCTGGAGTTGTAATTGCTATTCATAACCAAGTTCGTTCCATATGCAATTTACTTAGGATGCAGTTGCAAAGAAATGTTCTGTATGCCCTAAAGAGTCTGCCTTTGTTGTGTGATGAGCAAAACCACCCATCTGCTCTGCATGTCCAGGGTCCTGCATCTTATGGGAGGGAGTCATTCTCCTCTGTGCTTGAACTCCATCTATTGAAGATTGCAGTAACATAAGGGTTAACCTCCTCTCTCTCTCCAGTGCCACACCCTGGCCTTCCCAAGCTTGTGTGTGTGAGATGGGGAGAGTGAGCCAGAGTCGAACATGGTAATCAAAAGCAGCATTGTTAGATTTTACATGAAATGAAAGAACTAGACCTTAAAGACTCAGCCTGGCTAGAGGAGTACTGTGTAACAAAGTACTGTACTCCCTGTAAGGAGATCAAGATATGTGGGTGACTGCTTTGAGTTGGAAGAAAAATGTGCTGTAGAATTTAATAATAATAAACCCTAGCTCTTCTTCAGCATAGACCCCACAGTGCTTTACAAGTGAGGTAACCCATTTTTAAGATGGGGAACTGAGGCACAGAGTGGCGCTATGACTTGCCCCAGGTCACCCAGCTGCAGAATCAGAAATAGAACCTGTGTCTTCATGAGTCCTACTGAACAGCCCTGTCCACTGGAATGCACTGCCCGCTGCTTGGGGGCAGGGGGATAACAAAGGGGGTGGCTTTCTGTGTGGAAGCTTGCTGTAGGATACAATAGTTTAAAGTTTAACTAATTAATTTTCTTGCGGTGGAGATGAAAAGGGGAAAATGTCCTGCGAGCAGCCCAAGGAGGCCCAGCATGCCAGACTGGAGGAACCCCACACAGCACCTGCAAACAAGGCAGCCAAAAACTTTAGGGAAGATTAGAAGTCTTTTTCAAAGACCGCTCTAGCGGTGACTGAGCTTGATGCAGGAGTCCCTGGGTTAAGTCTCTGGCTGGTGTTATGCAGGAGGTCAGAACAGCCGATCACAATGGTCATTTATGGCCTAACGCTGGATTTGGTTCAACTCAAACCAAACATGTTTCCCGTTTCTTTGGAACTGCCAGTGAGCTGAACAACCAGTTATTTGCCCAGTTCTAGTGCTCAGCTTACCCACAAAGCTGTGATTTTGTTAAAAGAATGTCCCCAGCCAACCGAAGAAAGACAGACTGACAACAGAGAGAGGACAGACCGAGGTAAAGGGACAGGCTCACTCTGTTCTGGTCAGAGGGGATGGGAGCGGGGTATTTGTGTCAGGCCTATGCTCTGCCCTCTCTTGGGCGGGTCAGATGCCCACATCCGGGCAGGCTGACGGGTGGGGAGCTGGAGGGGAGGACAGTTTGACAAGCAAAGATTCACTCCTTCCCTGCACCCGGAACAGGAAGCGACCACGCCCAGGACAGCTGGGAGATGAACCCAAGAGACACCATGGCCCCAGACTCAAAAACCTAAGAACCCCTTAGACCAGGGGGTCTCACAACCAATTTTTTGGTGGCCACAGTGTGTAGCCAACAACTCTTGCTGGTGGCCGCTCTGACAAATTTTCCTAAAATACTTCATTAATTTTAGGAAAAATAAACAAATACACACACAGACATGTCCAAATCATTGTAATTTATTTATATAAGACTCAATAATAAAAATAATGTACAGTTGTATTTTGGTGCCCCTGGTCCCCGCTGCCTCCCCCCATCCCCAGGGATCCCCCCACACACCACTGGGCTCCCCAGCACCACCCGGGCCCTGATGATCCCCTGCCATTGCCCTAAGAGGCCTCACACCCCAGGCTCATCCCGCTCCTTGCCTCTTGACCACAGCACCTGGTAAGATCGGCCCTGCTGAAGCCCACCCCTGGAGTCCCGTGGCTGAAGAAGGGAGGGGTGGAGGGTCTGAAGCCTGACCCCAGAGTCCTGTGAATGAAGACGTGGGGGGTGCTGAAGTCTGCCCCTGGAGTCCCTGGGCAGTGCAGGAAATCCCCTGGTCACCGCATTTGAGAAAGGCTGCCATAGACCCACAGCTTATAGCACAAGATATGAAAAGTGAAAGAAAAGGGACAGACACCAACAGTAGGCAAGGAGGGCAGGCTGTCTGGTTGCTAAAGCCAAAGATGAGGAACGTCTTGGCTTTGACAGGGGAGAAATTGCAGAAATCATAAAATGTACAGAGAAAAGGGCAAGAAGTCCCAGGGTCAGCCTGTGCTTAAAAAAAAACAAACCTCTTTATTTTCCAATGAAGATTACTTAACACAATTTAAAAACCACCTCACTCTGTCACTCCACACCACTGGAGCAGTGCAGACAGACACATCGTAAACATTCCTGGAGGAGTCTTACCTAGCAATTGCCTGTTCATGGCTGCAAACCCATAGGAGAATCTCAGAATTGCATTTTGGTTCAAGAATATACTGGCTCTGACAAAGATGGAACTTTAATCCTGGGGGTGCTGTACCTGGGGGTGATGCTTCCAGGCAGTGCTTCTCCATATTTCCAACCCCTTCTGATGCCAGCTGATGAGAGTGGTATCACACACTATGCAACTTGCTGGGTGACCAGGAGAGCTGGGAAAAATCCAACATCTTGCGGGATTTGGCATAAACATTTCTGCCCTCCTAGCACATCAATGGAATGGCTACTTTTGTATTTCCAGTCATTGGATAATTCCTGCAATGGTGAGACACAAAATCATGTTTTGTTCAGAACTGGCCCTTTTGCATTTGGAAAAATACATGTCTGTAAACAACATATTTTTTTCAGAAAAGCAGCTATTTGTGAGTAGATAACGAAATATGAAATAAGCCAGGATTTTGCCTGGTTTTTCATTTCCCTGAGTGTTTCACATACCTCTGCTTTCTCTACACTCCACATGGGTACTTCCTCGAGCTCTCGGGCCTGCAGAGAAGGGATGGAGTGGGAATGGCATTCTGTTTCGGTGTGAACCATTCCAATCAAGTGGTGATTATAAAAATGTCTGTGTGAATAATAGCTGCTATGATTGTCCCGCTAGCTCTCCTCTAGGCACTTTTGAAAGTGAGAGCTCATATATCAGTAATTTTACATTAGGAGGCCATGAGAAATGACAAGAAGTGAGTGGGAATAAAGGAATACATAAAATAGACACATCATCCCATAATATATCTGTAAAGAGAAAAACTACTGGTATTTGAACTGTCCTAAGACAGGCTGCTCTTGGGGAAACATTATTTCTGTTCAAATGATGTTGTTTTGTTACCATGGGAAACTCTTAATTTAACTCTTATGTTGCACTAAAGAGGGGATGGCAAGGGTCAGAGAACAAACTAGCAAACAATCTTTTAATCTTCCAGTCAGCCTATTTCATACTCTTTCACTGCCTGATCTCTGACTCAAGCAGTTTCTTAGAGGCGATGTATAAATCACAGCCATCAGTTAGATGTGATAGCATATGTGCATATTTCTTTTTTATCCCTATTTACATGAAAAAATATCTGCCTGTCTTAGGCACTGATAAAGTGTCAGTCATTGTTGTAGCTAGACTCCAAGGCATCACGAAAATGCAGACAAAAAAGAAAACTGCTGCGCCCCTCTGAACCCCGCCTCCCTCCCTTCCCACTGGCTCCAGTCTCATTTGCAACTCTGTTCAAGAAGAGGAACAGAAGAATTAATAACGTGGAAAAGGGAGGCGTTCACAAGCAGCTGATTTTGCTCTTGTGTCAGAGCGACACATGGTCTTGGGGATAGACAGGCAGGATCTCTTGGTATTAAAGAGGCAGCAAATGTCAGGGGTGTTAACTGTCACAACTGGGTGGCAGCGCCAAGGGAGTGCTTTTCAGCCAGCAACAGCAGTAAGAAGGTGTCTGGGGACCCCCTCCTCCAATGGATGTATCATTGTCTCAGCTAGAACGAGTCAAAGCTAAGAAGCAGGTTCTCCAGCCATATCTCTAATAGGGACAGGGAAACCAATTTGGATAGTGTAGGGAGACACCTGCACTTTTATAGTGAACTCTAACTAAACTCAGACTAATTCTGAGGCTATGTCTACACTACAAAGGCACAGCTGCTGTTGCTTTAGCACTTCAGTACAGACGCTTACTGCAGTGTCGGGAGGGATTTACCTCATTGCTGTAGATAAGCCACCTCCCCGAAAGGCAGTAGCTAGGCTGGTGGAAGAATTTTACCATTGACCTAACACTGTCTACACTAGGGGTTAGGTCAGGCTGGATTTTTCACATCCTGGAGAGACATAGCTATACCAATGTCACTTTTCAGTGTAGACAAGCCTGGAAGCTCAAAGTATTTGAGACCAGAAGCAGAAGCACTGATACGCATCAGGAATGGCATATTTAGGGTTCCCCCAGTCTAGATGGCATCAGGAAGAATCAGAGCTGTTTCTCACATGATTTCCAGCCCAGTTTCTCAGTCTCAAAGGTCTGGATAGTTCTGATCACTTTGGGATACCTGTCCTAATGCTGCTGAATCTTTGATCTAAAGGTGGGCCTACTTCCCTAAAGTGTGGGGTGTTTGAGTCCATGGTTTTGGTTTTTGAACCTCTTCTGAAGTTCCCCTATCAGTAATTCATAAGTGTTTGGAACTCCTGGGAGCACCAGGCACGCTGTTTTTTTCCTCTGCAATTCACACTCTATTTGTGTTGTGTTTAGATATTCCTGCTCTCTGAACTCTCTATGCCTCTCACGTCCTCGCTTTCCTTTTATTGTCTCACTATATGACGGGGCTTTGGCTCTCATTGAATTGGGGCTAATGTGGAAGCATGGCGTAATGGATATGTTGAGTAATGCCTTGCTTGTTGTCATTTGCCTTGGCAGGTCACTATGGGAAGGATATTTATCGAAGTGGAGGGCCAGATCTCCATAATTTCATCTCCTCCGGGTTTGTCACATTAGGAAGAGGACACGTGAAGGGTACAGTGGAAACAATTTTTTGCTAAATAAAAATATTGTTTTAAATAAAAAGCTATAACTCAGAAGCTGGGTTCTAAGTGATAGGAGATAACAGTCCTGGACTGCAGTCAGTAGATTTATTCTAGCCCATCTTGTTGCAGGTTAAATATTGTGCCGCTGGCAGAGTCTCTTACACCCTAGTGAGGGAAAGAGGGGGAGTGCAGAATTAGGGAATACAGACACCACTCTGAGTTTGCAATCCGACAACTTGTATTGCTTTGTGTTTTCTGGGAGCATGGATGCAAACTGACCCTCTTGCTGCTGCTTTTATCTTGGGAACAGAAAGGTCTGTAATGCCACCCAAGGGGGTAGGTGGCAGCATTTCAAGAGTGGGGATTTTTGTTTACTCAACTGATTTCCAGGTTATGGGAATTTTGTTTTTGTTGTTGTTGTTTTTTTGTTTGGTTTGGTTTGGTATTACAAATATTTTATAAAATGATTTCTTACAGGTCCACGTACATATATTCTGTGTTCACATAATCTGTGATATACTGTACAAACATGAAAACACATAAATATACATATTGTGTGCTGTGTATGTTCTGTGTATATGTACTGTATATACAATCTATGTTGAAAGATAGTTGTAGCTATATTAGATAAGCAAACATATAATCCTGTTTAGGAGTTATGGTGATAACAAAACTGCAGGAGCTATGTGTTGAGTAACTTGTCACCAGAACCCCAAGGTGAATGTTCCTTTTATAACATTGTTGCATATGTCGGGGGTTTCTATAGTAGATGGTGCGAATGTTTGTTTGAACCAGTTTTGTGTTTACATTCCATATTCTAACAAAGTCACATTGGTACGTGGACAGTGGATCATATCGCTGGGAGTGCAAAGGTGTGCCACGTCCATACTAATCTGATTTTGTTCCTTGCTGACTTATGAGACTGTTGTACATTTATATAGACACAATGTATGTGGAGATGCTTATACAGAGCCAATGTACTATGTGTGGAGCCGTGTTCATGTGCCCGCCTGGTTGAACATACATCTTTTGTTGTTTCCGTGGATGACCACCATTAAAAGAGTTTTATTTTTCATACATTTGCTGCACTTTTTAAAATTCTCCATGAGTATCATCCAAAGTGGTGTCAGTCCTGTAGAACTTTCAGAGAAGAAACAAATATCTGTATATTGTCTGTGTATGTCTGTGTGTATTTAAATAAAGTTTATTGAGGCTGAGGCAGCACCCATGGGACGTGTAATGCACTTCCATCCTGGGTAGAGCACTGGCTAGGAGGAAGCAGAGGGACACACCACTAACCTTCTAGGGGAGAGGGGGCTAAAAAGGGGCAAGGAAGGACATGTGGATGGTGGGACACATGAGGCCTCCTTCAGAAATGGGGGTTTATTGTTATTTCATATCCTATCAGGGCCTGAGCTCACACTGAGCATGATGGGATACGTGTTTAGGCTGAGATGATGAGCATGGGGAGTGCACTCAGGCTGGGGTGCAGAGCACAGAGTGGTGTGTCCAGAGCACTTGGGACTAACTGCTGGGATCCCCTGGGCAGGGCCTGGCAACATGCTCCTCCCTCTCAGACATTTTAGTTGATCTTTAATCAATTTACTGTACAATATTGTTCAGTTACTTCTATGTGTAAAATAAAATCTACCTTCCTTCCTTAACTGAAGAGGCTCAGGGGGGTCTATTCTTCCTTAGATGTGCAGATAGATGATTTATACACACCAGCTGTTGGCTTTCCTGGGAGTTCCACACCATACATTCCCCATCCATAAGAAGATGGGAGAATAGATGATCTATACGTAAACTATAACTGATAGTCACGAAGATAGGAACATACTTTTCAAAGTGGACAACTAACTTTTGTTGCTTGAAGAAAATTGCCTGCCTTAGTTGTGTATGAAGTCAATCATCTCAGTGTTCTCTATCGGTTTGCCTTGGCCTTTGGGATTCATTTTAAACTGTCTACAGGTTTATATCACATTTAAATGGTATTTCAGTGTGGTTAACTTTCAAGGGCAAATTTTCAAGTTTGTACACCACTGATGTGTCTTAAAAAGTGCATGCACTGATTGCACATGCAAACTGCCATATTTGCATGTATAAATCAATAAGTGGGCACATAAGTGTCTGTGTCACATTATCTATTTGCAGCCATAATTGTCTGTCTGTGCTCTGAATACAGGATTTTTTTGGATGCAACAGGTAGGTGTGACTTAGGAGCATTTTCCGTGGTACTTGTGCTCAAGTCACTTAGGAGCTTTTGAAAATCCTTCCAGGCATATCTGCTGCACTCTTGTTTGAAATTTTCCTGTTGGCTCTAACTGTCAGAATAATTGTACTTTTAGACAAAAGAGACTATGTTCCAGCAAGCATGCTGTAGCTTTCAGAGATTTGCTTCCAAATTTGAAAGTGTCCGATACAATTCTTCTTTGTAGAAATACAGCTTCATGTTGAGGCTTCATCATGGGTGATTTCCAATGTGTGAGGTGACTGCACTACCTCACCCTCTATTAACCCGACAGCTTTCTCCTGCCCCATTTATTACGGTATCATGCCAGTAGCTTCTGTCTCTGGTTTGAACAGAGCCTCGGGAAGTGCATCTTAATATTTCTTTGCACTAGGAGACACATTTTCTCTGTTTTCTCAACTGTCTCCTGTGCTATGGCAGCACTCCAAGTGCTGACTAATATTTTAGAATTAGGCTATTTTGGGAAGGAGATGGGGATGTGAGACATGGCAAAGCACCATGGATACCACATCAGTGAATTCAAGTGCCTGACATTCACAAGTTCCTGGGAGATTGTGATTTATGATTCTTGTATGACACTCTGCCGGGTGATGCATCACTACCTGACACTAAAGTCTATAAAATCACTATACAATGTATTCTCCAAACCAGGAGAAAGGCCTCTACTGTCAGTCAAGTGCAGAGGATCGGGGGACACATCCAAAGTTTTCAAACCACAGAACTTCTTATTGGTGAGGTATAGTCTCTTCTTTGATCTCCCTCCTCAGTCAACTACCCAATGAAACAAAGAAAGGGTCACTGTGTACTAGAACTTGTCAGATCTCAACTAATGTATTATACAAATGTTCTTTTGCTTACATTTTCTCCCTTGAATTGGGAGCTCTGTGGTTTTGACTGTACCAGATAATAGCCGCTTGAGGATATCCCAATTCCCAGGCCAGATTCCATTCATCCTGCTCTGTTGAGGTATTGCAGGTCTTTGCTTTACCGGATGTGTTGAGCCATGGGTAGGCAAAGTATGGACTGATAACCTCAGAGAATAGACACACCCTGAAAAGTAGCCCTGCAAACCTGGCAAGGTGGGTTCCAATAGTCACTGATTCTCAATGACACCAAATCAGATTTTCTCAGTTTGCAGGTAAAAGCGTGTTATTTCCAGCCCCACAAACTCAGCCTGGGCTTTTCTGATCTCACTGATCATTGCTTGAAATAAAGATTCTGCACCCCAAATTATAACTTCAGTTTACACCAGAGCAATACCTTTCTCCCCTTTGGCACCTGTGTACCGTAATTAGTTTTAAATGGGTTTGTGCAGGTGTCACTGGTTACATCATCTGAAGACACTAGGACTTCACAGGGATAGCTGATGAAATTTGACCTCCAGAACATCTGAGAAATAAAGAACCCAGCTTGCCTCTCAGATCCCAGAATGAGTTTGTGGGGCTGATACTTTTAAACTGAGCACAACAGATCTGGGAGCAATGAGACACAGTGGATATGGAGTCCTACGATGATATTATTACAGAGTCACATTTTAGGGTAGAAGTGTACTTTTACTGGAGTTTTCTTTGACCTTGTCAGTTCAAGCCAGACCCTCAATGGGATACAATGCCTGGTACAAAATCAGAAAATCACACACAGACATGTATTTTACAAACCTGGATGACTCAGCTGTCCCCACACAAAAACTCTGCCCCAGGCTATTTCCAGTAATTCTGCAGACATCTCTCACGCCTCTTACAGATCCGACAAAACTGAGCTCTTCCAGAAATCACTATGTGAAATATTTTGCTCTGGTTTTGGGTGGCTGTAGATCACTAATGTTACAAGCTTTGTAGCTCATTGCTTGCTGTGTCTATGCAAGCCGTTTTTCTGCAAGTCTTCCACCTTCACACTGGCACCGGTGCCTGCTCCCGTCCTGAGGCAATAGGTGGGAATGCTAGTGCATAACCCCATGAGTCTACACAGTGCTGGTCTGGATGATGTGATTGTAAAACTCCTGGCAGCCTGCCTGCAATAGTCCACGTGAGGCTGCACCAGTGGCTGTGCAATAGTGAAACATTTGAAAATGTTTCGGTGCAGGCAAAGTCAGTATGGTATCTGAGCACCTTACTATGCTTCAGGTCTCAATATGACATAGAAAACAATACTCTGCTATTACCTGCATGCACCCAGTGGTACCGTCTGGTGGCCCTATATTCCACATTTGCCCTGTGGTACTGGCCGGGTACCTCTATCCCACATTTGCCCTGTGGTACTGGCCGGTTGCCTCTATCCCACATTTGCCCTGTGGTACTGGCCGGTTGCCTCTATCCCACATTTGCCCTGTGGTACTGGCCGGTTGCCTCTATCCCACACTTGCCAGCTGGTTGCCTTTATCCCAGATGCTCCCTATTGTACCGGCAGGTGGCCTCTATCTCAGATTCCCCCTGTAGTACTGGTCAGTGGCCTCTGTTTCAGATTCTCACTGTGGTTCTGGCTGGTGGCCCCTTGTTGTGGGTTCCCCCTGTGGTTCTGGCTGGTGGTCCATTGTTGTGGGTTCCCCCTGTGGTTATGGCTGGTGGCCCCTTGCTGTAGGTTTCCCCTGTGGTTATAGCTGGTGGCCCACTGGCCTGGGGACTTCTTTTCTCATATCCAAGACTATTGACTTATTCCTTTAGCTGGTAATTTCTAAACTGACCACTGGCCATTTCTGTGCTCTGTATCTGCAATCAAAATAAATCCCTTCCATCAATGAA